TTGTTGCTCTAAATACTCGCTGATTACTTCAATTGTTCTTCAACTTGGCTAAGTGATACTGTAGGAGGAAACTCCCCGATACTAATTTTCGCCTCATCAACATATTATCACAGACTGATTTTATATTTCACATAAAGTTGGCTTTACGCTGGTGCAAGCACGGCATAATCGTTTGAAAAAGATTTCCCTAGAAGTTTCGTCTGGCTTACCTTGGAATGTCCAACGTCAAGGAGAGCATCATTATAACCATCAAATAAAATTTCCTTGACAGTGTGAGATCTGAAATCGCATTGAATTGCGATTGTATTGTGTGGATGTATGTATGCGTTCAAAAGCAGTGACAATCGTCAAAACTGATAGCATCGTCTTGAGGAAGGAAATAATTTACAAAGCAACCCACATGAATGGATACTCCCCCACCAGAAGCAGTCCAAAGGCGAATATCCTTCGCGCAACGGGAGTCATTTGATACTGTGGGTCGTAAATAGCTGACGCAGCACCCTAAAATGGTCGCATGTTCTTCAAAAAAAGAAGCACTTATTAGCACAATGTGTTTTCATGTCAGACAAGAAGTTAAAAAAAGATCAGCAAGTGCTAAATGCTTTAAGTCATGGCTCTATTAGAAAGAATTTTGTCACATATTGGTGACTCAGATTGGGGCAATGTAATAAATGCGCAATTAAGACATAACAAGAAAGTTGTTGAAGAATCAACCATGCAATTTTAAGGTAATGACTAGTCAGCTGAGCTGAAAATATGTGTAGATCCAAGCTGTTCTAATTGTATTTAGGTGGGAAGTACGTGGAGGGAAATTTATAGGTACATATATTGCGTCCTTGCCTTATCAAACTTTTAAGAAAATCCTATTGTTGCTTCAATGGTAAAAGCTAGAAACTTACAATGCCTGTTGGATTTGGGACTGTCACGATATCATTCCAAGAACAGTCAGGGCATGTGAATTCATCATTGATTACGAATCTCTTATAGTTCTGATAGAAAAGTTCATCATTATCCTCACTGAACTTCAGATATTTTTTTTGCTCCGTTTCACTGAAAATTATTTCTTAGTTGTTCTATAGCATTCCTAAAAAAAATTCATTGAGTTCTTCGAAACGCTTAGGCTTAGGCAGAAGGTCGTGAATGCCACCAAACATCTTCTTTTCTATGGATTAGTGAAGCGGTTTAACTAAGGATTACTAATTCAGTTTCTAACAACTTCCGTCACAGACCATTAGATTTTTGTAAGGCGTAGTACTGTTTTAGATTTTACTTGATCTCTGAATACCAAAAATAACTCATTTCACAGGAAACAAACATTTTATGTAAAATTTGCAGAATTTTCTTCATTGGCAAGCAATATGTACAAATAAAATGTGATCACTCTTTGACCACATTTTGTGTTTGCAGGTATTAGTCATTTTAACTGTTACTTAAACATAGATATACAGTTATTGTCCTCTTTCCATACGTAGAATTATGGTACAAATTGTCTCTTGCTTGAGCGCTGGCCTACATGTTATTGGAGTTGAGCCAAAATTGCTCTACTAACGCTAGGAACATTGGCCATGGGTAAAATTTGATGTGCTAAGCTCGAACATGGCAACTTTGATACTGTAAGATACTATACCGTTGCTACGGGAAGTGCTTCACAACAGATGGAGGACCACCTATAAGATTAACCTAATGAATAAGGTAGCGGTAAAAAACTCCCACCCCCTACGTGGAAATCTAATTGTAACAAGCTAGTCCCTAAAATGAACCGTTAAGTCCAGGAAAAGGCTTAGAAATAAAAGAACCATTTGCAACCAAACAGTGATCACATTTTTTGGGAAATCCTGGTACAACCGACAAATCATAAAGATCATAAATTTTGACTATTAGTCAAAATTGGAAAATTCAGGAATTAGGCTTTACCTTGCTACTTAGAAAAAGGAAAATCATAGAAGTGAAAAATTTGCTTATATTACATGAAAAAGTACTAATACGTTCATAAATCCTAAACACTGCAGCAATTTAGGTAAAAGGATCGAAAAATCAGGCGAAGTGTGGAAGAAAAATATGCATTGCTGCTTTTATGCTGTTTTTAGATATTCTTGAGTTGACGCTTTTTCAACAATGACCATATATCACAATTCAACTGAAGATGCAATTATTTTAAGAAAATCTACCAAGAGATTGCAAGAAATTAATTGTGTATTTATTGTGTACCAACTAATGCTACAAAATAAATGAATTTTAGTTTTCCCAAAATAAGCGTGCTTACGTCTACTTTCTTATTTTGATTAACTTCTTAGTTTGCAATATTCTTAGTCTCTCGAGGAACGAAATTAAAGAAAACAGGGATTTATGGCAACTGCTGTCGGTAATTTGAAGCAGTAGGCGAAAATTACAGGTGCCCTTTGCTTAAGAAACTATCCAGATGAGAGCTATCGCTCTGACTCATTAGCGCGCAGAAGGCACTTTCTGGTAACTGGTCTTTGTACTTATGAGGGGTCCTTGTTAGAAGGACTGATTATGAAGCAGCAAGATTTCATTATGAGATATTATGATAAGTATCTTTAAACTTACATAATTGCGTACGCTTTGGTTTCGATTAATCGAGGTTTAGCACTACCATATATCATTTCGTCCGGATTTGTTATATTAAAGAAGAAGAACTTGATTATATTCCTCATTGGTGGATTAGCGAACATAAATGTGGAAAAACTGGGACTCTTGTCTTTGTGTTGAGACAATTGGAGATTCTGAAATGAGCAGTTATACATGAGCTATGCAACAAATCATATAATCTTACCTTCACAACCATTTTGGGATAAATGGTAGGAAATATTGATAGTGTTATAATAGATATAGCCAAAGAAAGAACCGCTATTATTGTAGCAGCCACATCACATTTAGTAAGCTTTATCATAACGAAAAACAGCTGGAATTCCTTATAATGAACAAATAATGATCATCAACGGAAGAGCTTATAATTCATACTAAAACGCATAAACACTCGATTGATGACCCAACAATAAAGGTCCTTTGCT